CTTCTTTCGACTTCAGGGAGTCATGAAACGTTACAACAAGTGCCAATCAACATGAACAACAGTCGAACAATTCGCATTTATGAAATATCAGAGAAAATACGTTTTAGTATCAGTTAGGTATTGGGTGGTTTTAGAAAATCAAATATTACACAGAAAATTCATTCATCCACCTAATTGTTTTCCCGCTTATAGCGTAACAAAAAAACTCTGACGAACAACTACTCAACACAATTTATTTGCGTTTCCAAAAGTTGTTCCATCTTGACAATGATGATGGAGGGATTTGGAATTACATTTACAAGGTTCCACTTTATTTGCCGCGTTAGATGCCTAAATTTTGCCTTTGAAGAGAGGAGGGTGTGAAATGGTCTCAAAATTCGCAAGGATGTGAATTATCTCAATTTCCATCTCCCGAAACTGCTACTGCTACTTCGTAAAGGTGGAAAATTTCAACTACAGATCATCTAAGTTTTTTTAAGTGAAATTTTCCACGAATTTACAGCACATGAAGGGGCTGGATCAGTAAAGTAGGAAGTGATGAAACAGTAAACGGCGTGGATTGCATTCACAGTACTACGAATATCTATCTGTGAGCTAAGCTAATCTTATTTGTACAATGTTGGACGCGATTTTCGTAGTTATGATACGTCTATAGAGGTGTGACTTCATTTGCATCCAATTGCAATTGGAGGCCAATCAAGTGCTGCTTCAGGAAGGAAAGCCAATTCCACTGCGAGCAATAGATCGAGCCACCCATCCACACCACCTTTTGTCTCCCGATCCACTCAACTAGTCATGGAATCTTCTGTTAATTTTCCTACTTGACTAGCTATCCTGCCTCTTTCTGCACTTCCAGCCGTCCACTTCTGTATCATTCTAGCCATGCATCAGATCCCAATACAGTCCTCTTCCTAACTATTCCCACATTGAAACTCAGCAATACAATGGATGCTCTTTTTTTCTACATTATCCGATTTCCTTCCAAGATATCAGCCTACCTGTCCAGTTGTTAATCTATCCCTCACATTGAAGGTCCGAGCAGAAATAGTAATCCACCTGTGGGACACGATCACTCTGTATTCTATCAGAGCAGTTATCATCGCAGCATTTTTGCGAATTCTACCAAATAAAACTTTTTTTTTGAATCCCACAAAAGGTTTCCTCCTTGCTAAGATTGACTCTGGAAGCACTACCTTAGCCATTGAAAAGTCTCATTAGACTGAAGAAGTTAAATGCATGGATTTAATGGCATGAAAGAGACGGTGAGCATTGCGGGGTAAGATCAAGCGGTGCTTCGTCCGACCGATCTATTGGCAGACTGACTATGAGCTAGTAGTTCTGGGAGGCGACCTTCAGCTATAGACTTTCGGTCTATAGCTCGCCACGTCCCCTACCTGTCACCCGCCTTACTGCCTTTTAAGGAAGGTCACTCGATACTCAAGCCAAAAATCTGCTTTCCATAAACTTTGTCTTTTCATTTGCTAATATGACTCGCACTACCGTAAATTATCGTTGGCAATACCCCTATAACCACTCATTTCATCAAGGATCATCAACACAGTTTATCATTGTGAGCTGCACATAGGCAAGACTTTTGGCGCATATTTATTGTCTGCTAGGTACAGCATTGTACCTTTATGCTCCCGCATGTATTGCTTGTCGCTACATCTAAACTTCGGGTTTTTTACTCTAGCAATAGTTTTACACTGAGCAAATTGGGAAGTCTTGTTGCGATCCCCATTTGATTGACTAGAAGTTTTAAGCGAATTAATTACTGAATCGGACTTAAAGTCGCATCGTCCATCAGTACAAATAATGTGTCCAATTTCTTTGACTCCTTGCGAAGCAGTGCTGACCGGAGACCATGTACCATTTATTATAATGGGATAATCAGCAAGAGTTCTAGTCTAGTCATAATCCCAGGACTTTGTTTAGATTATTCTGAAGTGTGTGTGCACAAGCGCAGCTGGCATATAGTTTGCTTTCACTACCTTAACAGAAGGTTTTCTTATATGTTGTTCGAAAAGCAATAAATTTTCTACGTAGCGCCAAAGTATTTAAGGTAGAAGTAAAACGACTCTTTATACACACTGTCTTTTGGAATTCTAAATTTGCAGGTGCTGTGGATGGGCGAATCTGTGATGGTCCCCAACAGAAGGACTGAAAGTGGCTTGTCCCTTCTGTACACCACTACTATATTTTCCTACTATTATGCCTTCTTTCGTCTTCATGAAAAAATTGGAGCGCTATCTGACTGCTATATTTTGAGAATTGCTTGGTAAAAGCTGATAGTAGTAATTAAAATGCATTTGAAAATCTGGGCACAATTGGACTAATTTTTAGCAAAAGCAGAGAGAAGAAAGGTCAAAAACGGCGAATTGGATTTAGGCTGTTCGCAGCACATTGTACTTAGCGATTCTATTAGGAAGTAAACTTCAAAAACTAAGAAATCCAGAATGTATCGTTATTGTACGGCGAGACTCATCAGTCTCCACTTCCCTGTTCCTAGCGTTCTTAGAAGAGCCCGGTTGATTCAATTTGGCCATATTTATAAAATAGGAAAAGATCAAGAGGAAAGTACAACCGTAATACGATAGTGATTTATCCCTCGGTATTGGTGAGGCGCCACTTTTGTACTTTGAATTAGCCCCCTCGTACCTCGCTGGGTGGGCTGGCCTTTTGGGCCCCGCCAATAGTCCAGCCACCTTCTCTGTGCTGAATATATATTCTGCCCAAGTATTGTGTCTTCGTTCGTCTTCAGGGAGTCACAGGACGCTACAACAATATTTAAGAAGGGGGGAAACACCAGTCACTAGGTACGAAGGAGGACGATGCTGTCACGAGATTCGTATTTCCTGACCGCCTCCTCCCTGAAAGGTACATTAAAACAACATGAGCATTACATTATACTTCCACAGCATACAATAAAGCACCTCAATTTAACTACTCCAATACCTTGATTTCTAGATGCCTCAAAATGATATCCCAGGGATAGCAAGTCATTTGGATCATTAAATGGAGCAATAGCCTCCACACAGTTCATTTAAAATTCATCTCTGCATATCTAACCTAAAAAACTCAATTCATTGTTCTCAAATGTTCCAAAAAATTTTTCCTCTGGATAAACAAAAATAGCTGTACAGAAATCAATATGAACAAGCTAGAGAAAAAGGCAAAACTGCAATACGCTGTAAATTGTACCAGGTTTTACATCTTTAAATGCAACGGCCAATCAACAGTGAGGTTAAACAGTTTAACTTCGTGCACATCTGCGTTTGTGCTGGTGTTTTCTCGAACTATTGTCTGGTCTCGTGCATTTAAAATGGAATTGGCTCATTGTAATGAACTAGCGCAGACATTAGCGAGAACATTGTCTCCACTATTCGGGGAACGTAGACGGGCGGAAAATGTACTAAAGTCAATGGAACACCAACCCGGGTATTCCGTCTGTCTCCTTGTCCTTCTTCAAGATCCCTCTCAGCCGAAGACTATTCGACTTTCTGCTGCCACAACCCTCAAAAATTTCATCAAACGTTACTGGAAAACTGTATGTTTTTGCGAGTTTGGATCTCTGTGTCTAATGAGCACCTTTAAATTACGTTTTCTTAGGAAGCGGAATCAGACAACCTAATCCCAGATGCTGATCGCGAACAACTGAAGGCTCAGTTGATCAATGCAATGCTGACTAGCACAGGAGCCAGCCAGCACATGCTCTCCGAAGCCATTGGTCTTATTGGTCGTGAAGATTTTCCCGCGCGCTGGCCTAGTTTACTTCCTGATATCATTCAGCGGATCACTCAACTTGGTACTGAGCTTGATAGTGTTCAAGGTCTTCTCTACACAGCTCATTCGCTTTTTAAACGGTTAGTTTACATTCTACTCGGGGGATGCTAGTTTCATTTGGCAGTGTGTATTTGTTGAACTCTCGTAACTCTGGTACATTGACCCTTATGTTATTCTTCTTGTAATATCATTGCTTCTCTTTGATTTTGCATAAAAGTTGTGGCTTTGAGTCCTCTCCGAAGTAGGGTTTGCTTTCATCGATCTCCTACTGTGGGATTTTCCGTTATTGGCCGCTTTATTCTGTAGTTATCGGCACGAAATGCGTTCCAATGAGCTATTTTTGGAAATGAAGCTCGTTATTGGCCAATTTGCTGGACCCTTGACCACCCTGACTTTGGTATGTTGATTTGAAATGTCTAACATTTTTAACTGATACCACCCCTTATCGATGCTCCATTTAGTTCTTATTTCGCTTTTACCGTCTTTCACTGGTAAAAATGTGAACACTTGATCTTACTTTGTTTCAGAATCTCATGAATTTGGTTGTTGGTCCCAATCGTTCGACTAACGGCAGTCAGTTGGTCCCCATTATGCATGCACTGCTTCTCGTCTGCAAGATTTTTCTCAGTCTCAACTGTCAGGCATGTTATTCCCCCCTCTTCTCACGAATACGCACTTCGCTTTCAAAAGCGGCTCTACTTCTGTTATTAACCTATAGATAAACGAGACCTTTTTTAATTATTTGTTGTGGATTTCATAGTTAATTGTACAGGTTTCGATGAACAGGTCCCTATCGACACGAAGAAAGCGGGTATGGAAATAGATTTCAAGATCTCCAGTTGAATGGAATCACTGCTTTCTGTCGTTTTCGTCAGTTAAAGTATCGAAAAATAACTTGAGCTGATCATGATGGTCTGGAGGGTCACTTACTGCAGAACATTATGATGAATTCATGTTATTTGTTACTGTTTCGAGGATACCTTTTTTTCTGTCGCTTAGCACTATCGAGCATAAGTAGTCCACTATTGCAACAACAAAACGCCTAGCCTTTCAGCGATGTCTGCTATGTACAAACCGAACTACGCACTAAGTTGCATGCCTTCGTGTCTCTTGCGGTAGGATTTGCCGGAATTCTTTGAGGATAGCATGGGTCAGTGGATGGGAGTCTTCCACCAACTCCTCCATCTCGACCCACAAATCACGGAGTTAATTAACTCCTCTGCAGCCACCGCTGATGCCATAGGGGACACCTCGTCGGCAGGTACCTTAGTGGAACAAGTGAAATCTCAGGTTTGCGACAATATCACTCTCTACGCCACCAAATATGCCTCCGATTTCACTAACTACCTCTCCGAGTTTGTGAAGGATGTCTGGGAGATGCTCATTTCTATGAAGAACACACAGGATCCCAAGTATGACACGGTAGGTCTGGGATTCACTTCTCGCCTTCCTTTTCGACTACATCTACTCGTGGCTTGTAATGTTATTGGCGCTTGCCTTCTCGTTAGCTCATCGGTAATGCGCTGGATTTTCTCAGCTCGGTTGTCTCGCGTCCCCAGCACAGGGCCCTTTTTGAGGTTCCGGAGACCTTACAAAAGCTTTGCGAACTCATCGTTTTGCCCAACATCCAGCTCTCGAGTACGTGTATTTCATCTCAAAATTTTGTTGCCCTTAAATTCTTGGGTTTGGGGGTTTTTCTCTTTTCCGGTGTTTTGCCTTTGTGAATGCTTCATCACTTCCAAATGCGTATTTGGCTCTTGATTTGTCGGCTAAGAGTATGAAAAAGTTGAAGATTCGTGTTGATGTTTTTGAATGTAAGTAGTTCGACATATCGACGGTCAAAAGGCATATCTAACAGGAGTATCACTAATGGTCTTCTTAGTACCGGTCGGTGATCGAGCTTCATCGCGAAACAGCTGTAAGATTTGATGCATCTGTTGTTACATTTTTGTACTATATCAAGGAAGTTGTCAATGCAATCAGCTCTGAAACAATCTAGCTGTTTGCCCCTTCCCTATTTCCAGCCCGCACTTAGTTTGATAAACTTAGGATCCATTCTAATTTTCTCAGTTTTTTTCTGTCATGCAATCAGAGTTAAATTCACAGTTTGTTGATGGTTCGGAAGATGGTAGACATAATCGTAGAAAGATTTGACTTCCGGGCGGTGGTGCGTAAATTGGTGATTTTTGTATTTCCTTAGTCGTAAATTCTTCGAAAGTTTTCACCAGATTTTCTCAGATGTATTATTTTGCCGAATAGATATCTAGTACACAGCTTGGTGGAGCTTGATGAGGCCACAATCAACCTAAACCCCAACAAGTTGACATTTCGAAAAGCTGGGTTAGGCGAATTAGAATCCGACTATAAATTTCCGATAAACTCACTTCGTTTTCATCATTTCACGTGCGTGTGCTAGTTTGTCTTTTAATTTATCTGCCTGTTAAGTCATGGATAAGCCAGAAGTCGGCGTTAATGGTTTTGAATGTTTTCTCAATGCTTCAAGAAGGTCTTAGCACGTCGATGATCATGTGCTACGGTTAGCGTGGGTTACGATATTGCAATACTGGTAAATTGATCGGCTGTCTTTCGCTGAAAACTCTATTTTTTATAGGGTACTTTAATATCAGAGATGATCCAACCTTGTTAGAGATTTGGTTGTAATAAGCTGAGCCAAGTTGTAAACCAGCGGCTGCACCGTGCCTTTTACCCGTTTCGAGCGTATATTTTGGTTTCTCTTCGTGCCCATCAACTTGATGTATTCGTCAGGCTGCCCATGCATAAATGTTTTTGAGTTGGCTAAGTTATGAACTCCTTATATTGTAAATAGTTAAACACATTAACAGATTAGTGTTGTGAATAATGAATTTATCAAACATTGGCTAGTGACAAGAAAATTCAATCTGGCAGGCGATTGTTTATCTTAAAGGTGATCCACCCTCTAGCGATCCTTTGATGAGTAGCTGAGCCTAAGCGTGACCTAGATTTAAAGTTTGATTCGACTGAAATCAAGTAACCATTAAACTATTTCGGAGAACTTCTCGTTTTATCTATGCGGTCGAGTGTGACTATTTGACTAAAGAGTGCTCCACTGCATTCATGGTTCGTTAATCAATCACGGGTGTGTTAACCTCCGTCTCATCTTGAGATTTTAGCTCTGAAAATTACCCAGCTTCAATGACGCCTTCAAACTAACTGCGAATTGGCAACGAGGTTATTTTTACGAGTGAAAGAGTTCTGATGATTTCAACCTCATGGATTTCGTGGGAAATTATCGTAACAAATCCCTAAATAGCTTGGTTTTTCTGTCACCCTCTAAACCGCTAATTTTTGCTTCGTTGCATGGTTGGGAGGAAGTACATTGGCCTCTCAGCCGTTGGTTGCACGGCGGGTTGATGCGATTACCGTTAAAACAATACTGAAGCACTTTGAGCCAGTACAATGTATATTTAAGCCAGTTCATTATCATCATAGCCGTCACGGCACAAAAGTAAGCTATCGTGCCTCATCAGATTACCAGGCTTTTCCAGTGGTTTCTTTTCCTATCTCTCGAGTGTACAGGCAACTTAGTGTTGCAGTCAAACCGTATTGTTGATACTTTGTTAAACGTACTGCCCTCTTTATGTAGCTAACGACGAAGAGATGTTTGAAGATTCCCCTGAGGAGTATATCCGCCGAGATTTGGAGGGTTCCGACGCCCACACGCGTCGTCGATCGGCCTGCAACTTGGTCTACGCTCTGTGCGAAGCCTTCGAGGGTCCTGTTATCGACAACTTTGCACGCTACATAAACCACTTGTTGACGGAGTACGCTAACGCCGTCTCAGCCATAACGACCAACAGTAATAGCAACAGTGTAGCTGGAAACAGAAGCGTGCCTATGACAGGTTGGAGTAGCAAGGACTCTGCCCTCCTCCTTGTCACTTCTCTGGCTGCTAAGGGCAAAACGGAAAAAGTGAGCGGATTATTCATGTAAGGAGAAGGTGTGATTTTTCTGTATAATGCATTTATTATCGTTGTTTTGAAGTTTGGTGTCACTTCCTCCTCGAGACTGGTGGACATCCCAAATTTCTTTGAGACCCACGTCCTTCCAGAGCTGCAAAATCCCAATGGTATGTGACAGCCTACAGCCTCTTTTTCCCCTTTGAAATGCCGTTCTTGTATTTTGATTATGTGATTATTTATCTCGAGCTCACCACTTTATGAATTACCATTGGCTTTCCCGTTTTGTGCGAAAACAATATATAACACTCGAGTCATCTGTGCGGATGTAATTAGGTTTGTTGTCATCATAGAGAGGGGCTAGGCGTCTTAGCCTGGGTAATACAAGCAGTACGCCCTGACACATGCGTGATAACCCAATTTACAAAAACTGAAAGATTCGCGTAGTCAGATGTCATTTTTACGCGGCCCATTTTTTTTGGGCGTCGTCCTAGGTACTTTCCTGAATCTTCCTTTCCTTCAGCCCATTCATGATATTTGAATGCATCTTAGCCACTCGTAAATCAGGCGTGGTCATGCGACACTCTCCATCGCAGCAGCTGTACGTCTCGTTCCATTTTTGCGAATCGAAAGTCAGAGGCCCATTTACACAGTTCTTGAGTCACAGTTAAGATTGTGCATTTAAAAACGAAATCATTTTATGGAGCAAAGTGTAGCTTTATGGATCTACTTTCGCGTTTCACTTCCCCTTGCTACATTGTTGCAAGCTTCACCATTCCTCAGCAGTTCACCTGGCTTAATTTCAGCGTCCTGGAAACCGATGGAGGTATTATTTCTCTCGTTCATAATCTAGTAGTTCTGCATGGCAGTATTGCACAGTTCTAGTCATCATGTTAAATGCTCGTTTATTTAAGACTGATTCTCATTGGCAATTAATGAGCTAATTAATATCCAATCTAGTGTGATATTCCGCGTTTTTTTTCCTTCCAGTCGATCAACTGCCAGTGATAAAAGCGGACTGTCTGCGTTATGCCATCACCTTCCGCGGCATCTTGCCCTCCGCGGCAATCCTGAATCTCTTCAATCTTGTGCCCAACTTCCTCACCGCGTCCTCCGTTGTTGTTCACAGCTATGCTGCCGTTCTTCTCGAAAAATTCCTGCTCATGACCATCCCAGATCGTCCCATTCTCACGCCTTTGTGAGTCCTTCCGCATTACTCTGCCTACATTACCTTTAAAGTAGCACATGGCAAACTTGTATACAGTGCCACTTCTTTTAACGGTTATAAGTAGCGCGCCGTTCATCTTGTAGGATCAACAAATCCGATGTAATTAACCCCGAGGTTCTCATTCAACGCTGTCTCGAAGCGCTTTCTAGACCTGCGTCGTGTGAGAGCGTCTATCTCATGCGAGGTAGGTTGCCTCCTCCAATCGTTCGATTGTAAGATTGTGATTAGCGATGCTCATTTTAACCTCGTCCTTCCAGCCCTCCTTCGAATCTGCAGTTGCCTGGAGGACCGATGTTTACCCTCCATGAACTCGCTTGTTACCGCTCTTGTCACACGACTGGGTCAGATGATCAAGGTGTGTTGTTTGTGCGATTTCATCTTTTCTGTTGCCAAGTGTGCTTATTCAGTCAATAAATAAGATTACTTAAGTTTTCATGAATGCTATAGTTAAAATACTCTTGAGTATTCCTGAAACTACTTTGAAGCTTGTTCTTGATTTCCAAGTGGTAGAATGTAAAGCGGTTCGTTTCGTCATTGAAAAATGGTATTCGCATCTCGATTCAACGGATTTAAGTGTTTTCTACTAATGTATTCAAGAAGTGTAAGGCAGTGCATCCTTGATTTACCTAGGTGATTGTAGAAGTCTCTGCAACACAGTGAAAACACTTCACCAATTCATGTGCATCGCTTGAAAAGTCTGCTAAGTAAATTTCAGTGGTTTAGCTCTCTTTGTGCTCGCGGCAAGAACATATTCTTTCTAAAATTTCTTTAAAAACTTTTCCTAAATTATCTCGGCACGTAGCCGAAACGTTTTCTTATGTAATCTAGCCTTTATTTTTCTCTGAAAGTGGGATTTTGTTGTGAAGCGTTGTTAGCCTACGCATGTCTATACATTGAATGTCTTCATTTCAAAAGCAACACTCGTATTACCTTAGTATCCCCATGTGGGTGTTAAAAGGCGTCGAGTCTCCTACCACTTTAGATCATACCTATCTTTCATCCTCTCTTTTTACTGCTTTGTTCTGGCCTTAGAATCCTTCCAAGCCGCAGTTCAATCACTTCCTCTTCGAGTCGCTCTGTCTTTGTGTACGGCTGACGTGTGCTGCAGATCCCTCTTCTATTGCGCACTTTGAATCGGCCCTCTTCATGATTTTCCAGGAGATTCTCCAACAAGATATCACAGGTGAGTCACCCCTTTTTTTCTGGATTTGGTCAGTGGTCAATGCATTTTGTATTATGTTCATATTTACTCGGGAGCTTGAGCAATGTTGTTTATTCTGGTTGGAATTGATCGGACAAGCGTTGTCCATCAGAAGTTGCCTTCTGCTCCATTTTTTTTCATTGCCCGATTGATAACTCGACGATCTGAAGTTGCTGTACTGTCAAACTTTAGCTGGAGGGCAAACAGATACTGTTGGTCTTTCTATTTTGGACCTGTCTCACTGTGTGGGGTTATCTTTTTAAGGATATGTCGCTTGTCAATGCTTGTTTAGCTCATGCGGTGGGGTTTTACTTGTGGTTCTGCATGCGTCAAAACATGCTATAGTTTAACGTGAATGCATGCATTTATGATGCAGTTGTTTTCTATTTACTGTCATTCAATTCTCAACCTTTTGTTTTGGCGTCTATCCTTCGCATTGGTAGGCCATTTTAGTCGCAATTCCTCCTGAGGGGACTTTTCAAACACTCGGCAGACATCTTACGTTTTATCTGGCCGTACCCTCAAAACGCCTTGTCTATATTCTCAAATGCTTTTGCTGGTGCATTGATTCCTTATTTACGTGGATTTGTGTTGAAGAACGGCATTAATTTTCTTCAGTTCGCCTTTTACTTAAATTTGAAATATGCATTCCTAATGAATTAGTTATGTGCCTTTATGGCGTGAATTTCAAGAATAATATGACGCGCCGCAATTCATGGGTTTTTAAACCTGGCTCCTGAGGAAGTGTACTGGTTCACAATCCATGACATAATTCAACTTTTTACCCTTATCTGTCTCATAGAAAATTACTGCCTGTAGACGAATCAAAACTACGTGTCTTTTTCAGTATTCTCTTGCTGTTTGTGAATTATTTATCGTTTCGTAGCTTTGGTTTCGGTTACTTCATTATCTATGAATTTTTTTAGCTATCTAACTCATAAATCAGTCATCTACCTTTTGAGTTCTGACCAGTGCGATTTTACATTCACCTTATCCGATTCATGACGCCATTTGCAAAGTTTTTTGGGAACCCTGTATCCATTTCGACAAGTTTAGCCGATATTAAATATATGGCACCCTTGCTGTTCTCTGTACGTATTTTTAGCACATAACTGTTGTGTCAGCAATCTTTTGTTTGCATAGGCGAAATCATGCGATTTCATTATGCAAAGGCTTCATTTTATATGATCCTAAGCTTTCATAGCCGGGCCGGCGGGTAGTGCTGTTAAATCAAAGCTTAAATTTAATACGGCTAATGAAATTTGTACATCTAATATTTCCCGTCCTGTTCTCTTTCCCCATAGAACTGTTCCCTTACGTCTTCCAACTGCTCGCAGTGATGCTGGAGCAATATCCTCTGGGTTCCAATGTGCGTGAGTTGTGCTCACAGAAGAGGAAGATGGCAGGCTTGGAGGCAGAGCCACAACCGACATCTTTACCTACTCCGAATGTGGCCTATCAGGCCCTTCTGCCGCGTCTCCTAGTCCCTCCCCTCTGGGAAACACAGGGTGCTGTCATGTCACTTGCACGTCTCATGCAGGCCTACCTTCTGCACAATATGGAAGCTGTTCTGGCAACTAATAAGGTGAGTTTAATTTCGAAGTCCCAAAACATAGTAATCTATCCCCTTGTAGATGGATGCTATACTTGGTGTGTATCAGCGACTCCTGACCTCCAAAACCAACGACGTTTATGCCTTCACAATCATCTCCGCCTTTCTGCTTGCCTTTCCGCGAACCTTTCTGGAGCCCTTCCTCCCGCAAATCTTCATTTGCATTTTCCAACGTCTTCAAACCGCTAAGACGGAAAAGTTCATGCGATGTGATTTCACATTGCCTTCTTTTGTGCATTTCTTTTCCTGTTCATTGATTGAGCTAGCCACAGGCTTCCACGATTTGTGATTGGCTGCTATTTACGCGATTGGACAGATATTCTCATTTAAGCTTGTGATACTGAAGTTAGCTCTGAAACTTTTTGTGCAGTAAAAATTAACTATTTTGATGCAAATTTTCGAACAATGGCATTGCTTTATATTCACTTTAAGGGTTCAAAAGAATATCACAGTCTGACTCGATTAACTTTTTCATTAAAATATTTGCCTTTTTATGTGATAATGTTTTGGAGCTTAACTGTGCCAACCGTGCTAAGACTTTCATCCAAAGTACACCGTGTCACGTTTCATCTGTCTCTGTGATGCTGTTTCACCAGCGCCGTGTGGAATTTGTTTGCTATCGCGTTATCAACTTAAGGCCTCTATAGATTGATATTAAATATTGCTAGATCTAGACTGGATTTTAACGTTTCCAACAAGTTTCGTCAATGAGGCCCTCTTAACACCCTATTTGGGTTTTGTGGCTTTCGACTTCTTAATGATATATTTTATATCTAATCACCTACTAAAAGGAAGGATTGAAGTCGTGCTGAAAGTAATTTTTTGGCCCTTTTTATTGATCTATGTTAGTTGCTTAGGTATATACATGGCATTGATCTTCCGATTTCGCTTGTGGAATCTACGCCTTCCCGCAGTAAGCTTCCAGCGGGGTATTACATGGGGCACCCAGATGCAATCAATCTTTGCTTTCGCTTATTTCAAAGGACAACTTTTCATTGTACTCATAATTTACAAATAATGCCATTCGTAGGTTCTTTGCTTTTCAGGCCCCTTTGCCGACCGATGGGCGTAAAACGTTTAGTGCTGTAAAGGCGGCAAAACCTCGTGGTTCAATTAGTTGTCATAAAAACTGCTTTTTGTTACGATGATGTTAAATCATTTCAACTGCGGGCGTTTAGCAAATTTTTATCCAAGCCATCTCAATCATTCATCACACTTAGTCGAATTCTGTATGCATTGACAGGTTTGACCGCTTTCCTGGCGTACTTTGTCCTCATATTTGGTGCCAATGATCTGGTAAGAATTATGGACCAGGTGCAGAATAGGATATTCTCCAAAGTCCTCGCGAAGGTCATCCTTCCTCACGCCGAATTGGCCATCTCTTTACCCGTGGGGCTGATCAATCCCACGTTTGTCCTCACTGGTGCGTTCTGTGAACAAAAAGTTGCCTTTAAATGCTTAAAATTTATGAATTTCGCCTTTTAATAATGAAGGTTTCCCACATTTCCTCTCTTGGTAGTAGAATGGGAACCCTTACAGCATAGCTTTTGCTAAAAGGTATTTTAAACGACTCGGGTTTAATTCCTAAATTCAGTAGATGTGCTAGACTTGGGGTCTTTCTATGAGGTCTTGCGGCAAGCTAACGGGGGAGTGGGCTTTTACTAAAAAAAGTGAGCATCTAGTGATAGAATAGACATGAGCAAAGCTCCATCGTGGCAGTATGATCTCAGGTATCTCAAAAGGCAACTGCAGTATTCTATGACAAATTTCACTCTGATTCAGTCGTTTTTCCTTTTTCTTTACCTGCGAGGAGTGACATATTACAGCCACATTCCGTCGTTTTTCCATATTCCCCTTTATTAGTAGCTTACTTTTAGGAATACGATTGGCGGCCAACCTTGCTATGGCTCCTGCTATACGTCTGCATTCTTTGGCTATTTTATTGGCATTTTTGTCTCTTATATAGAAATTAAGGCCGGTGCTTCTGCCGACAATTGTCGTGATCTTGATAGCCCTCTGTTATGAATTTGCAGCTTTAGTCATCACCGGTGAATTATTTTTTTGTGATATTTTTACCCAAATCAAAGGAGAAGCGATTACATTCACCCCCATTTAATATGATACTTTTTATTCCACCGCCTGCCTCTATCGAATAACCATCCCAGTCGCTGACTTTCAAGCTCTATCAGGCCTTCACTGTAATGATGAATTTCTCCTCAGGAAAAAGTGTAGCTTAGCTTGAAACCACCTCATCTTCCACCTTCACTTCAGCTCACAGCAATGCGGGGGATGCGCATGCCAATTTGGCAACAAAGGGTGCGGATAGCGGCTACGCCAGCCTCTCCTCTTCCAGCTTCTCCCATCTGGCCCGCGAGGAGTGGCGCGTGGTGAGTGTGGGTCTCACCACTTTGTGCACTCAGGCAGAGGCGATCTGCAATCCCACTGATGCCATCGCCTCCGCACCCTCCACATCCTACCACGCGGACGCCTGGATACCACTTGTTCAAGCTATTCTTGCTGGGCTGGCCGCGGGACCGGCGAGGTGCGGACAACTTGCGGCTGACGCCGCTGTTGCTGCTGCCACCTCTGCGGCTACTAACACCTCCACTCCGGTCTTTTCAGACGAACGATTCACTGATGTTGCTGGAGATTCGGGTAAGTCTTCCGAATATTTAGGTTCGATTGTTATCAAATATTTTACTTTTGTGTTTTGCGCTTTTTTGGTGAGTCCTTGTTTGATCTACCTGCTTTCTGACAGGTGGAGTACAGACATTCTGCTATGCTACGAAGCTCACTGTGGTCTTTTTTAAGTCTTTATCTTATTGTTTAAACCTACTGAAATGTTATTAGTACTGACACATTTGCCAAGTATGACCCACGAATTGTATTTTTTTTTTACTTATGTGGGCATCGGTTTTGAGAGTTCCCCAATCATTAATTTTCGTCCCTCGAGTCATCAACTTTTCCGGCCAATGGGTTTCGTTTAACGAATCTGAAAATATCTGGTTTTGTCGTGCTTTGGCGAGTTTCGCTGTATCGTTATACGTTACAGGCGATCCCTGTAAAACGGTTGAATGAGCGTCAAGGGCGGAACTGCCTTGAAGCTTACCCACAGCATTGCTGAACTAAATTAAGTTGATATCGTAACTTTTAATGACTTACAATTTATCTTTATAATCACTGAAAGTGCCCCTGTATTCTCATGCTCAGTATTCCCTGAGGCGCAATCATAAGATTGTGGTTGTTGAAGGCATGCTCGCTTGCCATCCTGATCCCTCCCTTTTTCGATCTGGGGCAGGCTTCCGTGCTAACTTTACTATTTATTTCCTTTTCACAATTTCCAGCCTCCTTTACATTGGTATTTGCCACGCCGAAGATGCCCAATCTTTGCCCCGGTGTCGTGGATCCGCGGGTTCACTTTGCGAAGAGTCTAGAGACCCTATCTCGACGTTATCCCAGCAAGGTGATTGATCTGCCTTCCTCCCCACTACCCCTCCTACTTATTGCTTTTATGAGTAGCAATTTCGTTTCATTGTAGATTTCTGCCCAATTGCGAACCAAGTTGACTGACGGCGCCAAGAGCGTTTTGGAGGCGTACTTCACTCAATCAATGGTACGACTGGAGTGATCAGCTCACAACTCCCTTCTCCCCTGCGAGCCTCCTTCTTCCGTCTTCCCTGCATTTTGGTCCTCAACAATGTGTATGTATGCTTGCATTTTACACAATTTTGATCCGAAATTTTTGCCCCATCTTTACCTTTCGCTCCACCTTCCTCACCTCTGGGCTGTTTGAAACTCCCGAACTTTTTCTCTTTCCTTCACTTGCCTTTTCATTCCACTTTCCAGATTCTACATCTGCCTAATATTTTTTCTGTGTTTATATTCGGAGATTAAGTAAAAGTGGCTGATGGACAAGCTTCTCATTTTCGCGGCCTCATTTATTAGGGGATTCCAAGGGGAGCGTACAGTTTTTAAATGAATTTGATGTCAGGTAATCATCTTGCTGGGTTATGCTGATAAACAGCTAAAAACGGGTTTAGTAATCCTCCTGCATCTGGGTAGCAACAATCTTTCCCCTTATTGTTTGGGGCCCGGCCAATCTGCTTCCGGTACAACTTGGTGCGGTTACTATTAGACTGATAGCAAAAAAATGTCACGTGTGGCGCCGGTAGCGCTGTCAAGTTGTAAAAAGAACTGGTATTCTGCGTTGTTTCAATGTAAGGATGTGTTCGAATGTGAGGGCTTTACGCTGTTCTAACCAACTTGGTCAGTTGTTTGCTACGAACGCCAATTCAGCTGTACTAAACAGAATGAAATTTTAGGCGCCGGAAAATTGACTTTACCAGTTAAATGTGAAGTTGTGCTTATTTTCATCCTAGTATCAATTCATGTCCTCTGATTTGATGTGCGAGTTCAATCTTGAAATGCTGACATCTTGTTGACCTGATTTTCTTTCAGATGTGCTAGCTCTTTTATCATCACTTACAGAAATTGTACACAATTTTTAACGAAGATACTCCTAAAATCTAAAAACCTTCGTGAATATCTTGTTAAAGTTTTTAAGCTTACAGTAGAGATGAAATGGTAGAATGTGAATTATTTTTTGGACGTTTGAGGGTCTGAGGTTAGTTCAGGTAGAAGGATGTCAATGATCGTGTTCGTACACTTGATCACTGATTGACAGAAATTCGTAGCGTGTCAAATCTTTGCTGGAGGCGGCATACACCGAACCACAAGGGGAGAAAGTTTATCGACGTGAGTGGAGACCGAGAGGCTATGGCTTTGCCTTCTCGCTGTGCTACCAAGACGTAAGTAACATCCGCTAAGACTGGAAAACTTGAGTGGTAAAATTTACTTTAAAATGACTTATGCAGTGCCTTCAGACTTCCTTAAAGACGAAGGAAGACATGACACTTGTGCGGTAGGACTTGGGGCCACTGGCGTGGTTCAGAGGCCAGTCTACCCAGCGAAAGTACAATGGCGGTGCCTCCGAGTGGCCTGTTACCAAAACCGAGAGTTAAATAACCAAAGTATTACGTATTTCCTCCTCTTTCCTCCTCTCGGGCCTGCCATCACGACGTAATCGGCGATGTCTAGAAATATCCACAAGTCAATCATGGCAGTCATCCAATTCCCTTGCAACCGAGAAGATGCCTGACCACAAGGTCACCGATCCGTCCTAACAATTTCACCGGATCTGCAGTTTCCCCCTTCATGAGAACTGGATTTGGAGATTGAGGGAACGTGCTGGTCGTGGCATGTGTTCATTGCTAGTCGTAGGAACACAGGCCTAAAAGCAGAGTTGTGTAACAAAGGCCAGGGTTTAACATGGTTCCTTTGGAGCAGGGTTTTGTGCCTGCTCCTCTTTGCCACTTTTTTCTCACTTCATTGCTGCCTGGTCATATCTATATAGGTTCTATCCAGCTGGTAGAGGGGTGTGGAGGTATTGTGTGCTCATATAGGTGGTATCTTTATACAGGTACTGTAGACATCTTTTAACACACTTCTCCAGATGGTTAACGGCTAGTGTCGTTTCATTTGTTAATGACATTTGTGCAGAACACGGAACTTGGGTAGGTGCCGACGTCATTAGCAAACCTTCAGTTAGGAATCGTTACAGATTCTCCCATCCGCAGCATGTGCGCTTCCACACCGCTAAGGCTTATCACCCATCAGTAGAAATCGGGAAAGTTGTCCTCTAAGATAGGATTTGCTTCCCAATGCAGCATCCCGAAACTTCCTTGAAGACGCACAAAGGGTTTGGGAATACTGGCCTGGCCCGGAGGCCAGGCCATACCACGAGGGTACAATAGCAGAACCCCTAATTGACCTCTTACCAAACTTAAGAGTTAAACAAACAATTACATTTGAAGCTACAAAGGAGTGCCGATTTTATTGCAACTTTTTGCCTCTCTCTGTGGCGTGTCTTTTAGTCAAAATATCATTTCAACTGAAACTACAAACTTCGTTGTTTTTTTTGATATCAGGGTTCATTTCGTAAACTGCCATTTTTGGATAGTTTTTAAGGCGCTTTTATTATTAGAACTGTAGTGAATAGATACTTTGCTTTGTTGAATTTTAGGGGTGCTTTAATTTTAGCCAGTCGTGCTTTCGCTCTACGGCATGGTCCTTGGACCATGCTACTGTATCTTCACCTCTTCTGTACTTTATCGGCACTTGGGTCTGCCACGACCTTGAAAAACACTCGCGACGCTGCATTGATGGCAGCGGCGAGCGAGCCCCATCGAAAAGTGCAACTATCCTGAAGTCTATGGCTGAATATCAAACCTTAGCATGTGTAGTTACTTAAAAGAAGGTTAAAAAATGACACCAACCACTCGAAAAACTCCATTATGGAGCTGTCTACAGCACCTGTATGATGACAATTGCGGAAACGAGTGACATCTTCACGTCGTTACTATCCGAACGGTATCCTGGTAGATAGATGTCCAGACGGCACAGAAGTGACAGCAAAATGGTAAGGAGGTACAGATGCGATCAGTAGCCTGGTGAAGCTCTGCCTTTTGGCCTCGTCATCCTGGTTGGGAAACAATCAAAAGCATAAGGCGGCTGTGTGGTACATCGATGCTTTGTTTAACTGTATTGAACTGCGGAGACGCTTCAGTCTTCGCGGGTTGTACTTCTGCTCGAATGCATGGCCTTAGGATTATGCCAGTAGCCTCAAAACTATTCTATGATTTGGCCATATGTCTTCTGTCCTACTATCTTGGCTTAATACGACGTCGGAGAAAATCGGAGATGCTACAGAATTGCAAACATTGGTAAATTTAAGAGCATACTAAATGTTTAATGATATTAACATTTTACCATGACTTTGGAGGATGCAAATGCAGTAAGGCAGAATTTCTTTTCACTTCGCCTTTATTCCGCTACCTGGTAGATTCTTTCTCGATTCGACTAGTTGTGTAAAAAAAATAGACATAAATGCTATCGGCACGAATCGGGCGAACTCCTTATATAGCAATCACCGTTGCTGATAAAACTGGAAATAAACAGTCTAGGAATACTCTCCTTATGGTCAAATGCAAAGCTTGCAAATTGTGCCTCAGTATGAAGAATTCACAGTATTAGTGGGGCCGTCAAAGGGAGCGCTTTTGGATCCCTCAGTCCTCAAGTTGATCGGGTTTAATCTTGCATCATCGATGAAACGTATCAAGGCTACTTGAACTACATACTTCGAGTTGGTATTAATTTTTGAGGTAACTTCACTAAACCAAAGATGAGTGAGAATGTGATTTTATTTCTGATTTATTCGCTTTGGGGAATCAACACAGTAAAGGCTACTATTGACAGAACCGAGTAATGCGCTTTGCGAGTCAAGAATACAACTAGTGAACAGTGCTGTTAAAATTTTAAAATAGAAGACAAGTTCCAACGTCAAAACAATTTCAATATGTACATTATCCTTGATTTGTAGCTATGACAGAAGGGCTGAAAGCTGTTGTACTATAATCGGATGCATCTGTTTTAAGAAACCCAAATTTTGCTAACGGGATTAGAAATAAGTTAAAAATTTCTATAGGGCAGGGCCTCAGATGTCCCCAAAGAAGCCACATGACTCACATTGTCGTTGGCAGCTTTTGCAGTGCTGGACAGCGGAACAGACACAGTGACACCGATACGCAGACCGGTTCACATTCTTTTGATTCGCAGTCTGTATTGTTATTGTACTGTTTTCTCAACCGTTTGAAAAACTTAAGCATCAAGAATGGGCCAAAATACATCACTGAGATTAGGAGATTTCGATGTGGTATACTGGTACCTTCCTTTATATGGCTCATGTGACAAGTATTGTACAGAACTGGGATACTAGTTACTACGTTTCTTTTTACACAGGAGTCGCTTTTTGTTGGAAGCCAGATTTGGTCTTCACCTCTGCCTGATTTTTTTGACCCTCATGTTTGCATTTCATCACTGCCAAATCTGGAGGCTAGGCAGCCAGATGGAGGTACAATGGTGGAGCCCCTCAATTGCTCATTTTAAAATCGAGAATTAAAAAAAACCTCCTCAGTTTTGGCTCACATTTTTATGACTACTTGCATCACAAGAATTTGTATTGGCGACTTCGAATTATTTTCGCCTATTCTTTACTACTATGATGATACGCTTTCAGCCATAAAGACCAGACACCTACCCTTTGTGACCTTTGAAGCGCTGTAAACAGCCAAGCCACCTAGTTGGAAACCTTCCCCAAAGCGTCAATGACAGTAAAGATGTTTTTCACAACTATTAAAGACCATTCAACATATCTTGTTATGCTATCACTCTAGTTACCCTTTCACTGTTTAACCACAGAATTACAACCGGAAGAGTGGGAAACAAAACGGTCCACATAGTAGTATCGGTGAGTAAAGCCCAAAAATACTCAGTCATATAATCTTACCACGGTAAAATAAAAGGAGTATAAATTTTCTGGATGGATGGACAATCTAGTTTTCCACAATTGCTAATTTTTCAGAGCCTGTAATACCTTAACTGTTTGCTTAACTTTCGGTTGGGTTACGGGCCACTGGGGAGCTGCGCCATTGAACCTCCACCAAGCGACTTGGCCTCCGGGCCGTACCAGTAGCTCCATGACCTACTGTAAGTCTGAGATTCATATTCTGC